CCCGCGGGCGCCATGGCGCCCGCGGGCACCGTGTTGGGGACCACGGCTGTAGTAGATTACTGTCTGGTAGGATCATTAAAATGAGTTCGTCTGACCTCCTGCATAACAGTCCATCCAACAGTTTATGCAATCAAGCCCAACAGAACTAGAGAATACACTTTTTAGACACATCCTGTTTTGAAGACTTGATAGTATGTTCCAATAGACCGGCTATTCTTGCTATTAGAAATGTGACTATTTCCAGAATCTATTTCCTCCCCAAAATTGTCCTTACACCAATTCTCTTTCTAGCTGTAAAAGTGTTGTTTTCATTTGGAATGCTAACACTTCCTAACATCAAACACAGCTTGAAACACCTATATTGTGGATGTATTGATTCTGTATGGGTAACTATGCATAATCTAGGGGACAACACCAAGCACGAACAAGAACATCTGTTATCTGAATTTATGAGCAGGTTTCAAATATTTGTGGTGAGACATCTAATATTTCATTTTTAGCTTTGCTATCAGAAATATTTGTTTCCAGCAGGAAATTTAGAAAGCGACTTTCAAGCTATCAAAGTACAGTTTGTTTTTTTTAAGTGTAAGCAAGAAAAATTTCAGAACTTATTTCAATACATATGGGAATAATACGGAATGTCTGTTTAATTTATCTTTTATTGAAATTGCTGAATTGTTTATATTACACTAAATTTGATTCAAAATGGAAAACGTTTTATAAAATGAAGAAACCAGTGTTGAAGCCAAATAAGCCAACCGAAACGGTACAAGAGGTTCAAAAAAATCTGACCAACACATGTATCTGTACATGAATCTGGAACCATACCATTGCCCATAAGAGAATTCAGAAAACACTGACAGGAGCAGACCTCTATAGGAAGATTGACATAATTTCCATTCAGTCCTGGCAACACTTATTATATTCTGAGCCCAATGGTCACTGAATAAGAGCTACTGCATTTGAGATGCTATTTAAAGACTTGGGCCCACCATATTTTAATGCAGTTAGTATCACAAACTATACCTGTTGTGCAAATTAAGGCTTCTCTAGGTTTTAGGCTTAAGCTGACAAAAGACAGGGCTGTGAACATGGTATTGTAGGGTTTCTGCACCCATTGCCTTGAACAATCGAGTTATGTCTGGGCACACACAAATTCTAGTCCCACCTACACGCAAGGGAAATCTTTGGGTGCTTGTCAGCTGTTTAAGCAAATACTGATTAAATGTGTCATGTGACCAGTACCAAAAATATCATGCAAAGAACAACCATCATTTCAGACTAAAGCTAACAGAGTTGTACCTTTCAATAAATGGTTTTAAATCAAGTAATTGTTTAAATTAGAATGGAGTATTCAAATTTACAGGATAAATTAGACCAGTTCCAACATTTACATCAAACCACCCCAAACAAAAAGTTATGTTTTTATTTTCTCTCTCATCTAATGGGTGAATCTATAGAATAATACCCTGCCGGCAGGAAGAACATGTTGCTATTATTCAGCAAACCTGAGTAGTGAAAGTCAATAAATACAGGGAGAGAGTTAAAATGCTAGTAGTCAAATATCTCGAATCTCAAGTGACCGAGGCTTAATTCAGATTTACTCCTGTCCTTTGAAACGATTTCATAACAAGCACATAGTACTTGCGCTGAAGGGTTAAAATGAAAATCCTGGCTAGAGAGAAGCAACATAACTCAGTCATCTGGAGGCTGGAAGTCCAGTTGTTCCTGAATGTATCATTGTAAACAACCAGGATTGAGTCTTTTTTCTTCCCTTTTAAATGTTTACTTGTTAAAGGCAAAATTCAGAAGTCTCAGGCTAAAGTCTTCATATTTGGTTGGAAGTGTTTTGCTGTCCCATTATATATATAATCTATCTGTATTTATTTAATTAGGCACAAGAAGGGCTATTTAAACATTCAACAAGTCCTCATCACTATCATCATGGAACGATAATGTATTGGTAGAATTCTGTGTCTTCTGTTGGCTTGGGTTAGGTTTTGCTTTCCTTGCCTTTCCTCCATTCAGCAAGTTGTTCTTGGCATCACTTTCAAGACTAAATGGCTTCCTTTGCTGCCAGTTCTTATCTGAACCTCTGGATTGCACCCTTCCAGTTGAATGAATTTTCACATCTGGGACTGTTAGAACTTCATCCTCACTGTCCAGGTCATCCACATGGAGAGATGTCAAGGTGTCTGATTTAACAGATGTGGTAGTGATGTGACCATTTTCTTGTCCTCCTTTGCCTGGCCTCTGATTTGGTGCTGCGATTTCCTCCATAAGCCACTCAGTTTCATTCTCATTAGCTTCTTCTTCAGTGTTTATCTACAGTGTGAAGTTGGTAAAGTTACTGCATAATAATGTATAAGCTTTCAAAAACACCCTTTATGGTCTCCCAAATCCATCACCTATGAACTACCACCAACCCCCTCCTGCACTTGGATTTACCATCTTCCACTCATAAGCAGATACCACAAAATAGTGTTAGTGCACGAATACATCTTTTATCTCACTATGCTGCTTTTTGCACTCTTGAGCACTAATTTCAGTCTCTTTTTTGACCGCGCCTTTTCTCAATTTGCCTCCTATTTGTTGATCATGCCTCGGTATTTCTCTTAAATCCTCCTTCCTCTCCTTTCCTCCAACTATTGTAACTGAAATGGTTCTGTTTTCCCCCTCCATCTACTTTCAGATTTAGTCTCAGATAGCCACCTATAGTCACAAAGTTAGTTTAAATTGTGAGGAGTAGCTGCTATTTATTACTAGTTTGGAAAATCATTTCAACACCCTCTGAGGTCATCACAACTGTAAGTACCTTTGTATATTTATAGGAAACATTTGATGTTCTCCTGCAGCAGTTGGTTATCTTGTGCATCACAGTTTCTCTAAAAATAAAAACACGACTTTTTATTACAGTATTTATTACTTATCCTGTTGGAGAAAAAACAGCGATCAGGAATACCAACACCCTCAGTTTTCACTCTTCCAGTCAGAGGAAAATCGGCTCAATTTCCAGTAAAGAAAAAAGATCCAATACTTTTCTTGCATATACCTTTCCAAGGCTATTCACTAAATGGGAGGCACTGATATCTAAATAGTCTTGGGCCAAATCTAACTAACTGCTAGCATGACTGGCGCAGAGCCCACCCATCCAACCCATCAAATTGAATTACTGAACATTAACCTCAACAAGGGTAAGCGGTCACACCTAAACCTAACCATTGACTAGAGCCCCTGGCTATTCAGTGAGGTGTGGTGAAACCATTGAGTTCATGTCTAATAAATCCTAACTGGGGGGGGGGGGGGGGAGATTTTTTTTTCCACCAAAAAAATAGGGAAATTAAGTTAAACAAAAATCACAAAATTGGTAGCTGAATCAGGGCATAACAATACCTGTAAGCACTTTTAACAGTCTGAGAAACTGACTAGATTTCAAGAGGGCAGCATCCCCAATTGAAATCAACTTATGTTTCATGTAAGAAAACATTTTCTTTAAGCCTCCCTAAGCTTACCTCCTCTCTTTTTTGTAAAGCAACAAGATCAACAGACATGCCGTGAGAACCACCAGGAGGATGCTCAGCACAGCCCCAACAGCTTGGCTTCTTCCCGAAAGGCCTTTGAAAATTTGCACTTCCTGGTCAGACTGTTCCTCTTTGCTTCTAGAACTTCTGTAGGCAGCATAGGACACATGGTTAAGAGGACACTCTGCTTGGTTGTATTAATAGTCTGAGGAAATGTCGATTAGAAAAAAAATTTGGACAAACATTCAATAAGGGAGGTAACACTAGCGCTTGCTGGACTCTCAGAAAATGCTGATGCAAAGGAAGAAAGTTTAGGGAATTTGTTTCAAACAAGAGATTTAGTTTATTCTAAAAAAAAACAAACAAAAATAGGAGGAAGAGAGTCATGAGAGTCAGCAACCAAGTACAGAATTATTGTTAAAAGGATCATTTCTGTAAACATTACACTTCATTAGCAGGTAGTTATTAACAAGTAGGACTCACATCAACAGTTTTAAATATGTAAGGAAAAAAAACCCCACTGAATCCCAAACCAATGTGGGATCTACGTACAAACCCACAGTTCCTCCTCCTGTGGAGCCACTGGAAATTCTCTAGAATTGAGCCTGCATCTTACCTAACAAGTTGTGGCAGCTAAACACAACAATTCGTCTTTCAACAAATGAATGGTACATAGACTGCGCCATTTGGGTAGTATAAAGAAAAAACTTTACTGTATTTTCAGAACAGAAAACATCTAACCAGAAAACTATACGGTCACAATTTTAAAAGACATCTAGGGAAAATAAGGTTAACGTGGTGAAAGAGCTTGAGGGTGAAGGTGTACACAGCACTCACATGCAGCTACACATCTTACTTTTGAGACCACTACCTATCATGTCAATCAGCACTGTCTTGTTACCTTGGGCTTCCCCATCTGTCTGTTGGATCTTGGCTTATTCTTAGGTGCTAAGATGACTGAGGCAGGGACCATCCTTTTGTTGCGTTTCTACAATATTCAGCAATTGGGCCTGTGACTGGGATTGCTGGACACTACCACAAAATAAATATTGGCCACTCCAGCAGAGAAATTCTGGCATAAAGAAGTGGGCAGTTAAAGGTAACAACCATTAGCAGCGGGAAGAAACCTAGCCATTCATTTCCACACACTGAATAAAGACTGGAGGAGCTCTTATTTTTTTAAAGTTAAGATAGTTTCTTAATGGGATATATGCCTGTGGTGTAGTGTAAGATCCTTGCTGGTTGCTATGCTTGGGCTGTGGGCAACCCTCATTGGCAGCTGTCTGTAATCACAGCCTTGCAGGGGGTGCCTTACCACCCCAGGGTAGTGGCTAAAACCAGTTCTACAAGTTAAGGGAAGAGGCTGAACAAGGGAACTGGGAGGTTGGGAGAAGAGTCAGTCTTGGGCTGGAATCATGGAGGAACCAGTCTAAGGAGAGGGCTGGATTCTAGGGGCCTAGGGACCCCATCTCAAGGGGTCTGAGGTATCCTAGCCCAGACTCTGGTAAACACATCACGCCTATGCTGTGCTGTATCCTGCAGAAGCAATAAAACCCCTCTATTCTACTGGCTGGCGGGTCTGTTCTTGCTGCTACAGGGGGTGCAGGAACAGGGGAAGCCCAACTGCATCATCACAGTGTCTTAGGCTTCTCCCCACAGTAATCAAAGCAGCAGCTGAATGGAAACAAGCTGAGTGAAAGCCAGCTTCCCTTAATGGGAAGAAGTAGATTTCAATTAAGCTCTTTTCAAATTTTTTCAGTGTAAATATTAAACCACTGAAACCTAAAATAATCTTCATATAAGATGATCATTTTAAGCTAGCAAGTGGAATCAATGTTCCTTCATTTATTACGCTGTGAAATTGCTTTCACTCACTCCTCTCATATGCATTAAATGCTCTTTTTCCTAGATTCTGAGCAGTCCTCTCCTTGCCACAGCTACTATAGATCAGCCGTTCCAACCGCCGTTTGCAGCCCAGCACCAGTCTGTGAACTGCTGGCTGCTGGACCACAGCAGCTCTGAGAGCCAGGGCTCAGGATCATCTCCCAGCGCCTCCCCTTGTGCTGCAGCTGTTGGGAGAGGTGCGTCCTGCCTCGCTTCTCAGCCAACCAGCACTGGGCAGGGGCATCCTCCTGGTCACGGAAAAGCAGTTCGTTGTGAGGTGGGAGGGCTGCACGGCGCCCAACACAGCAGCCTTAGAGCTGCCACGACCTAGGCAGCAGCGCTCAGCTGATGTTTGAGAGGCAGTGAAGGGCTAGGTGAGGGAAGTGGGACAGGTACCGGGGACTCCAGGGGCAGGGCTGGTGCTGGGAGGGCTCTAACAGGTATGGAGCTGGCACTGCAGGGCTTTCAGGCATCCAGGGTGGGGATCTGGATCAGGGGCCTCTGAGGGCAGGGCTAGTAGTTAGGGAGCTACAGAGGCAGGGAAGGCACTGGGTTAATATTGCGGGCTGGCACAGGGAGGTCCTGGAGGAGTTGGGTACAGTGGGGCTCTGGAAACAGGAGGCTGGCACTGGGGAGTCTAGTGGTGGGGGACACTCTGTGGCAGGGGGCTGGCACTGGGGGGGCTCAGTGCAGGAAACTGGCACGGGGGTGCAGGGGACTCCGGGGTCAGTGGCTGGTGCTGGGGGGGAATAGTGTTGGGGTGGGGCTCTAGTGGCTGGAGCTTTTTATACAGCAGACTGGCAAACCCCTTCACAAAGACTTTGGTAGACCAGTAACATTTTATTTGTATATTTAAATAGATTTGCATAATGGATATGCAAATAACGTTATCGATCTGCCTAAAGTTTGTGAATGGTTTTGCTGGTCCATGGTATAAAAAAGATTGGGAACCACTGCTGTAGATAATGCTGGACTGCAAAAGAACCTTCTAGTAGCTTAACTGCTAGGAAGAACTCCATGTTACTTTGCGGGAAGGAAGTTACATACCCTAATGGACAGACCGCAGACGTATACCAGCTAAACAAATACTGGCAGTCTGCTGTCTCATGAAGGAACTCAGGGATGCCTTCCTTTGCCTGTAGGCTGCAGTGGAAAAAAATCATTGAGGAGGCAACTTTTGATTTATCTTTACCACAGGCTGAATCAGAGGAAAACACAACATCCAAGTCGTCATCTACAAAGAGGAAAAGTGAAAAGATTTCATAAAACACTGCACAGGAACTAGGTCCTTACAAACAAACAGTCTATTAAATGTGCTAGATTTTTTAACTAAAGAGAGAGCAAAAGAAAGTGTGTTATCTTCAGAATGTCTATCTAAATTTACTTCTCCAATGTTTAGGTTATTAGTACTCATAGAATCCCTTTGAAAAAGTGTTACACTTGGGCTATCAGGCAGAAATATAGATTAGAGAGCCCTTCTAGAATTACTAATACTGTGTGTATTTTTTCCAAAAAATCTTAACTGGGTGTCAGAAGTTCATTTAGTGTTAGGTTCCTTATGTTTCTCCAACAACTATGTTTTGTATGTAATGTTTTAAGCTAAAGAGCTCACCTGAGCTTCTTTAAACCCTTTTCTGGCATCAGACATTACAACCTACTGCATACATGCAGCTGGGTGGAGAAGAGAAGTGTCTTTTTCCCATCACTCCACCAATACCTTTTTCATATAAGGAAAGTCAAAGTAATTTGTCTCCTTTATGCCATTCCCACATTTACGTGGACAAGCAAGCGTAGTGGAAATATTGAATCCAGGATAGTAAATTCTAGTAGTGTTAACAGGAATATACTAGTTCAAAGGGCAGTTAAAGCAGACATCTCTCATTCTACGTAGAAATTCATGGAAAGGTTCCAAGTGTACACAATTGTAGTCAGTGAGAACTTACCTTGAATATAATATTTAGCTTTAGTGGAAGAGCCAACTTTCCTAACATAGGTACCAGTTGTTTTGATCTGGCATACGTTGGCTCCAGAGCACTGTGGGTGCACAGAATCTGTGATAGCAGAAAGCTGGATTTCATACACATATGTGTCACCATTTGTCCGTATATCACCAGATGCCATGTATAACCTGAAAGCAAAAGCAACTTTACTACAAAGTCCAAATTTCTCCCATAATTATGGACAAGAACAAATACTGCAACACAAGAAGCAACCTGATTTGAGCAGACTTCCAAGTACTGCTCTCTCTAACTATATTTCTTACATTCTATAGTTGGAATGGACAGATATTGGAAAAAAAATTCAAACCTTGTTACCTACAAGTTAACTCCCAAATCTGTATGTAGGCCCCAAAAGATAAGTGGTTTGATCTTCAAAAGATACCAAAAACCTGCAGCTGCTATTGGTTTTAGTGGGATTTATTCGTGATCAGCACTTTAAAAAAAAAAAATCATCACACTGCTTATTTGGAGGCCTAACTATGGCTTTATGAATGTAAGGGTATGTCTAGACTACATGCCTCTGTCGCCAGAGGCATGTAGATTAGGCTACCAGACACAGTAAAATGAAGCGGCGATTTAAATAATCGCCGCTTCATTTTACTGTGTCTGGTAGCCTAATCTACATGCCTCTGGCGACAGAGGCATGTAGTCTAGACGTACCCTAAGTTATAGGTATACTGGGCTGAAGGGCTGGTCATAAAATCCTGCATTCTACTTGAGCAGTATCAGTGGCAATATCCTGGCACCACTGACACTAATCCAGCATCTTCAAGAGTAATGGCTACCAGCCACTTATATCATGTACACATTACATCTAATGACATTACTGGAGAGAGAGTCAATGTTTTGAGATTCTTTTTATTTTTATTATTAAAAGAAGGGTGTTTGTTCCAGTACTCCTGTCCATTCTCAAAGATCGATTTTTGAGCAAGCCCACGCCCACTTACCTTTCTAAGTCTGCTTTGGAATAAAGAACTATAGGTTGAACCTCCTAAATCTGGGACTCCTTGGTCTGGCAACATCTGTGTTTCTGGAGGACCACAGATGTTGCTGGACCAGACAGCCCCAGCACGCGTGAATGCAACTGGCCAGGAGTGCAGTGGCAGGAGCCTCAGCCAAGCGGAGGAGCAGCAGCGGTGCTGGTAGCAGTCAGCAAGCTCCAGCTGGCCAGCACAGCAGGATGGAGCCCAAGACCAAACCCTGTCACAGGGGGGCTGGAGCAGAGCCAGCCACAGGGAGGCTGGCTGCAGGGGATCTTCACTAATCTGGCCAATTCCCTCATTACAGGATCCAACAGTCCTGGTCTGGCACCCTGAGAGGTCCTCAGGGTGCCAGACCAAGGAGGTCCAACCTATATTTCCTACTATCAGTTCTCCATCCCATCTCTTCCTTATTCAATGATATTAGGCAGTAGAAAGTATCAACCAAAGAGGGCTACCACATGAATAGATGTGCCAGTGCTTTTGCACGGACAAATACCACTCCCATTCTCTTTAATGAATGTCAATGTTCCAAGACTCAGAGAAGAAGTGCTTCTTTGATTGCCTTGCTTTCCCAACACATCCCTGAATTATGCTCCATCAATGCAACACAACCTGCATTTGACCTTTGAGTGTGGTGAATCTGCTCTATACAGCTGCTTCTGTAGTTTGACTCGTGTGTGTGTGAACACATTCAGTCTTGAGGTGTAACATTCCTCCCTTCCCTGAGCCTCCTGTTGCTTTTAACATTGCCAATTTCAACCAGTGACTCCATTTTATACCTCTGCATGGTTAAAGCTTTGCATTATGGCCACCAAACACCTGCCTCAGAACCTTCCAGCAATTCCTCACATCAAACCTGGCTGTCTTTCTAAAAGATCTGCTCAGGGGAAAGATCTATGGCCTAGGAGATACTGGAGGTCAGATTACTATCAGCACAAATGGTCTTCCCAGTACTAGCCTGGGAAGCCTGTGACTGTATCATTAGTAGAGTATAAAAGGTGGCAAAACATAAAAACAAAAAGTTACCCCAAGTGTGGGTCTTTGGCACAGTGGCTGGGCAATATCAGAGGGGTATTGACCCTTTTTATCATCTTTAGAGAGACTAGATGAACTCTTGATACTTGGTTTTAAAAAAGGCCTGACCCTGAACAGTGCTGAATATCTCAAGACACACTGGACACCCTCAGCCCCCACTGATTTCAACAGAAAAAAAAGGAGGCACTCAGTATTTTCCAAGGTCAGGCCTCAAGTCAGTAATTAGTGAACAGCCGGTGGGCTACAAAAACTTCATTAGTATGTATGCTCCTAAGATAGGCACATCTTAGACACCCCAAGGCATTCAAAGTGGTATTGTTTTAGCTACCACATTCAGCACGCTATTGTGGTACATGCTTTTTACTTACTTGTAATAAATGTCACTCAGGCTGAAATTTTTCCCAGTTGTAGGATTAGTAACAGTCCCATTTACTATCTCCACCTCTTGCTGCTTCACAGCACAAGCTGCCCGAGTTCCCCATGCAATATAGTGCACACAGTTTTTTTCATCAATCCTATAAATACACAGGAAAGTAGTAACAAGTCAGATTTGCATGACATGCTTGCTAGTCTGAAAATAATATAACTGGCAGTGGGAAAACGGAAAGATACATATGGCTTTCACCACAGTGTAGCCTATTGGCTCAGTGGAGAGACACTTAATATTTGTGCTTATTTCCTGCATAAACCAATTGTGTCGCTCAAGATCACTGTTCTACCAGGCTTACTGAACTGCTTCCTAACTCAATGGGTTTAGAAGTCCAACAACAGGTAATTTCTGAAACCACAAATTTAAAAATAAAAACAGAAAAATAGCTGTGTCAAGTGCCCAATGTCACATGCCGCACTGGAGATTTAAAGAAAAGGAAGTAAAACTAATCAGCCTGGTTTGCTTTGGACGGTTTACATTTTGTATTTCAGTGATCTTAGACAACAAACATGGCTGGTCAAGTTCCAGTCCCTGGCTCTTGTGCCTCATTTCCCTATTGCTACAGGCGAACATTTAATTCAGACAGATGAGCAATAAAGTTTGGCTCCAAACATATTCAGTGCGCTCAGGAGGTATTCAACTATGACAACTCATTAAATGACAACTTTTATACATAGAGTTTTGTCAGTTTTTAAAATGTATTGTATGTGCGCAGTGGTAAAGTTAAAGTTACAGATTTAAATAATTTAAGAAACCTATAGTTGGACACCACACGCATTTTCTCCAAGACTTCTTTGGCAAGGACAATCGATCACTAAAAAACCTTGACTCATGTTAATTTGAAAGAGAAAAAACATTCAATAAATAATGTATATACTGTATACCACAACCACCTGAATAACCACAGATTCTTTCCAGTTCTGCTATCAGTTTGAAGGGAATGCCAAGACTTTAACCTACACAATTTAAAGTAAATACTGCATGAAAATGAACAAGGGGAAAGAATCCAAAAGCTTCCAGTCTGGTAAACAAAGATTGAAAGTGAGTTCTGCATACTTTTACACACTGACGTTCATGTGATATTTAAATGTCCTTCTAGAGAATTAGTGCAGGAGGAAAAAACCACAGGCTATACATTTACTTTCCATGGGGCAGCCACATAGTTGCTTTTCTTGGAATTCACAGATAGAGGACAATCAGCAGTAAGTACACAGTTATTCAGAACTTTCTGTTTACACTTTTAAAGCTGGTAAGTACAGCATGCAGCTGTTTGTCCCAATACTACCATTTTTTTCCCTTCTAGCATCAACACATCACCTTTGTTTTGGCTCTCTACAAGATGCAAATGCCAGAGAACAATATGGAAGATCAGGAGCTTAAGAGGGAAGCTAACTCATTTTTTCAAACAGAATAGAAAAATTTATGCCCAACCTGTATCTAACTGGGCTGAAAATCAATTTAACTGGCTATGTTTCTAAAACCTGGGCATCTAAAGTTGGCACTTAATCCTTATTTAGGCTCAAAGTTTGAAAGTGTGTTTTGTTCAATTTTTGATTTGACAGAAGAGACAGACTCATGTCTCAGCAGAAACTGCACATTAAAACGTATGACTCCGATTGCCACCACTACCATCCACTCACTGTACAACCTTGGTCAAATAACCTAGGCCCAGATTTTTAGGCAATATCCCACTTCAATGAGACATTGCCCAAACTAACACTTTTGAAAATGAGACACAAAAGCCTAAGTCAGTTAGAGCACTGAAACAGGGAAATACCTATAAAAATCTGGGTCTTAATCCCACCATAAAAATGGGTTTAATATCATCTTCACAAAAGAGACTCTTCTGTGTTCCTAAAGCACTTTGAGATTCTTGGGTGAAAGGTGCTAGGGAGAGCAAAATTCTTAATTCAAAAATTTGTTTTTTGTGCATTTAGTATGCATCTTTACAGAGTAACAAAGCTATTTCCATAGCCCTTTATCTTTCTGGTTGACTGAACTAATAAGGTCCATTAACAGAACCAAAAATCTCAATTACTCACCTCTGTAGTGTGGGCTCACCAATTGTTTCTGCACATTTCAGTTCTATAATGGTTGTTGCTTTCTTGTTTTTTCCACAGTCCTGTCCACCAGAGTAACTGACAAGGATTTTATCACCTGAAACAAAAAACAATTGAAAGACTCAGTTTTGTGTTCTGTAGTCCTTCTAACAGAACTCTTCTTTTGACTGTGGTTACCAGAGACATCTCAATAGTAGTTTTGATGGGATCATAAATCAAATTACAGCATCTTGTCCCATCAGTACAAAAGCTAATATAAATCTTTCAACAGTTCTTAACACGGTTTCCCCATTCAGCCCAGAAGAAACATTTTGGTGACAAATTCAATTTGCCTACCTACTTGCATTTTACAACTGTAATATTTCCAACATTCCCAAATACAAATGAAAACCCCACTTTTGCAAGTAAGGGCATGAGCATACGTGCATTAATTTTTCCCATGGCTTAGATTTTTTCCAAGATAGATATTAATATTTAAAAACACAAGAAAGATAAAATTAGCTATAGATGCACTTTTGAAAGACAAGAGGAAAGATCTTTAAACCAAAGCATAGCAACTTTTCTAAAGTGTCCCTGTCTGAATCCTAGTTTTAAAAAGCAAGTCATACAAACATTCTATTGAAGTGAGAAGAACATCTGGCATGTCCCAGTAAGGATTCTTGATAGCAAAGTTATGATTTTTCCTAAAAAAGCTTAGCTGTAACTAGAGCCCTGCAGATATCCCCGTCATAGTTACAGACCATTTTGCAGATGGTAGAGCAGATGTAAATACAACCACGCAGGGCTCGACAGCATTGGTGGTGCCTGGTTATGGCAGCCTGGCCGGGGGGGTGGGGAGGGGAGGGAAGGAGAGAAGAGATGTAGTATGGTCACAGCCAACAGTTAGTGGCTGGGTAGTAGGTCAGAGTTGGGGCTCTCCACCACCTACTAACAACACAGCTTCCTATCCAGCAGCTTAGGCCTCTCACGCAGAGTTGGCATCCCAACATGGCTCAGCCCAGAAGCATTAGCCACACTCTCAGCCCACCAGCTATTGGACAGCAGGGCCCACTCCTGGCTGTCAGGACTGGAGTGGGTAGGACCTGTTTCCCCCACTGTGATGCAATACGCCCAGCTGCTGCTCCCAGGGGCTTACAAGTGAGAACCTGGCAGCACACAATATGACCCTTCTTCCCATGACTTTCCCTCCATACTGCCCTCTGCACCATGCTGCCTCTTTCCTGCAAGACCCCGGCATCGATTCGCTCACTTCTGCTTCCCCCCACCAGCCCTTCTGAGACTGCTGTCTGCTTTGGATACAGGTAAAAAACAGCGAGGGGGTCGCAGTCTGATCCTGGCTGGTGAGGAACCACATTTTTGTTCCTGCACAGGGCTACAGTTATAACTAATTAATTGTTTTGACCACTATCACAGCCTCAACATTACTGTCATTAATAAGCCTTTATCTGAAATGATAGTAATAGATTAAGAAACAGGCAACAGATGGACTCTTTACTCAAGGATCAGCATCACCACTAGATCCTCACTATAAAAATACTGATTTTGCAGCTGTCTACTGAAATAAGGAGTCAAAAGAATTATTGCACCTGTTACATTCAGCTTCTGCGTATGTACAAGTCCCAGAACCTGAACGTCACCATTTTGACTTTTGCTACAAACAGCAGCTCTTTCGGGGCAGCTTGTAGGTCCATTGTGTACTCTCTGACATAGATTTATGTAATACCTATAATAAAACAAAAGATTGATAGTGGGCTACATAAATTTATGTTGAATGAATATCAACAAAGGAAAGGATTAAGCATCATGAAATTCTCCTTTCAGGATTGATGACTTTGCTTAATTTTATTCATGAGCATTCACTGCCTTTGTTTTTACACACCTCTTACTATAAACAGGTTTCTGAATCTGTTTGAACAAACATAAAATGAACCACGAACTACAGATTTTTTGCTTGTACTTCCAAATTAGCTAATCTGACTCTCTTTAAAATTTGTACGTATGTGTTAGTCACTTCTTTTCAACATTAATTTACCAGGTCAAGTTTGTTTTTTAAACTCAAATCAAGCTATATTTGGAAGAAAATTGAAGTTCACCGAAAAATTATTTAAAAACTGTACCTTACAAATGGTTACATAAAGACACACGTTTACAAAAATAGGTTTTGCACTAAAATTAATTGCTTTATTAAACAAGAAAGTATTAACTATTGTTAAATAAAAATAATTTCCAGTAACAATGTTTTTCAATCTTTTAGAACCTCTCCACTTTGACTATATATTGAATGGCAAAGAAGAAACAAAAAAAACAAAAAACAAAAAAAGACGACTTCCAACTTTCTCTTCAACTCAAGTTGGAAAAGTAAACACCAGCATACTCTCACTGTGAAGACTGAAAGGGACACATATTTAGGGCAGTCCATGTAACATTTATAAAATTTGACAAAAAAACCTAAAGTTAAGATATTCCCTTTAACTCATTAGACTGAGTATTCATTCACTGATTCCACTTTTTAGATGAAGTGTAACATTTCATTTTTATCCAGCCTGTGCAAAAGTATTCTTTTGCGAAGACTCATCTAATTAACTGGGGAAATTGAACAGTCTCCCTTCATTCCAGCTTTCAATTTCCCAAGCACATGCACACGATTACAGATAAAATCATAAATTTCACGGAACTTCATGAAAGACTGCACGCTAGTGGAAAACTAAGTGAAATCAACTACCAAATGTAGACTAACGCACTAAAAAAACCCCAACTCCCCTCCTGCAAACACCCACCATCTAACTGAATCCACGGATGTGCAAATTCTTTTGTAAAAAGCATTATTCATCCGAAAAAAACAACTACTCACGCAATCCCATTATGGTTCAAGACCCATGATCCTGTAAGCGAGGAGAGCACTCTTAAATCGTAGATTTTGTGCTTTCGGGTGAACTTGCACTCCATCTTCTTTGGCGGACAAATTAACTGTGTTTTCCATTCAAAGGTCACAGCACAGCCAAGTGTCTCACTCAGGAGCTGAGGGTTCCCACTGCCAGCATTGTCATCACACTTGAAAATAATAGTAGCTTCTCGAGTCCCAGAGACTAGGAGGAGATACATTAATGTGAGAGGAGACACTCATAAGTTCTGACAAAGTGGGTCTTTGCCCACGAAAGCTTATGCTCCTACACTTCAGTTAGTCTATAAGGTGCCACAGGACTCCTCGTCGCTTTCATAAGGGGCTGTTACACATGTGGACAGTGCCACATAATTATGAATCAAAAGAGTAATGGAAAATATTGTTCTAAACCTAGCATAGCTTCTCATTAAAGAAATTTTAACTTTTGTTTCCAGCCCATCTAAAAAAAGTCACCCAATTAGGTAGGGGACAATCATTTTGATGTACTATTACTTTACTGCATTAGGCTAATAGCAAAGTGTGAATTTAATTTTCCCATTAAGCCAGAGTAACTTTTGTCAAGTCAAACAGTTACTTTGTGACATATAGGGGAGGGAGGTTTAATCCCATACTGTAGCTCCTGTTCTAGTTTCCATTATAAAGGACGTTTACCCAAAAAACGAATATCCTGGAGGGGAAAAAACCCCACACTTCTATTCTCGTTTAGACTATCAACCTTACACAGCAGGAGACACTTGGTTTAACAGAATCAGAACTAGTCTGAGAAACAGGTCCAACATTTCATATCTCTGGTAAATGAAAGCTCTTACTAACCCTTTCCACAAAATCCCCATTTTCCATCTTTGTCATAGTCCTCAGTTGTGGCACACCATAGTTGTTTTTTTTCTTCTGTTATGCAGTCCTCATAATTCTTGCCTTTGTATTTGAAGGGGAAGACACACAGCTCACCTTTTTCAGTCACTGTAAATAGAGGTGACATTCCTTAAGACATGTGCTCTGTAGTTACCATGGTTGATGCTAGGCAATATATAACAGAAGTTTATAATTTGACATCCTGTGTGTCCTGGTCAGCCCCATCATTCAAGCACAAATACAAAACCACTCTAGTCTAAATACTATCAAAGCAATATACATCAGGGCAAACATCTAGGGCCTTCATTGAACTGCTTCAAACCAATTTATAAGGCAAAGGCTGTATTGAGCATAGGTAAATTCTGACCTCTGCAAATAAGTCAATTTGATTTATATTCATGATCTATTATATTTTTAAAGAGATTTACTATACAAGAGCCAGAATTCCATCATTCTACTGATGAACTGTTTTTTCTTGGCAGTTTTTCAGCTGCTCCATGTCTTAATGGGACCAGACCATTTTAAATAGAAAATAATCTGCAGCCAATTAGAGGCTCTCACCTGGAGGGCACCGATCACCCCCGGTATACTGCAGAATGACAGTTTCATCCTGATGTCTGTAATCCATTTTCATTTCCTTTAGATTTCCAAAGGAAGCAACACTGTTTTCAGAGACCAGGCACACTGCCCCATCTTTGCATTTTCCACGGGGCACATCTGCTGCTTCAGCACACACCCCAACATGGTAACTGCTAGATCCAGAAGAAATCTGTAGAGGCATTCCATGGGGAAATCAGATGTCAAAGATAAAAACAACACTAGAGCCAATAGTCACTATTCTATGAGACTTACGCAAGTCTTTTACATATTCAGTCTCGTAAAAACTTTAGATGACAGGGACTGGACATTATCTACTACATAATTGAGAATGTTTGTGCATCTGTCTATCCGAGAGACTGTTCAAGAACTCCTGAATGGTAAAAGCTAGGATCACCCCAGAACAATGTTCTAACTGAAGAAAAACAAACTTGTTTGAGTTAAGGATCAAGCAAAGCTGGGTGAATCTTCTAGTTTTAAATACAATCATTTAGGGGAAGTAGGGAAGAAATACACCCTACAATTTAAAGTTGTATTGTACTGACCCATATTAATGTGTCAGCCATGCAAAACTCCCATCATATTACTGTAACACCCTGAAGCTTTTGTAAAAATTGACTGGCCCGTGCACAAACAAACATCAATTATTAAAAAGCATAATTCCTAGATGAAAAAATTAATGATGTTTCCTCACTGGGGGGTAGGAGGATACAAGTAGGATTTTGCAAGTCTAGTGTAATCATTTTATTAGAGAAAGACTTAGAACCACTAGCGGTGGCAAAATCATGTACAAGAGGGAGTCTGCCCCACAACTTAATGTAGTGGCTTTTGGAAACAGTGAAAGAGTAATGCACATGCTTCTTCATATTAACTTCCTCATCTCTCCTAGCTTATTTAAACGACTACCACTTGGGTTTCAAAATGTAGTATTCCTTAACTAGTTATAACAGCCCCAACACGGTGTTCATTTTACCTTATATGAGCTTCTGGAAAGGCTGGACAAGTTAAAAGTGTAGTTTAACTGCTCATCAGTCACAGTGCAGCCCAGTGTGTTCACTTTATCAGGACACACCAGAGGAGTACCCCACTCAAACACGAAACTGCAGTCAAGTTGTCGTATCATCTTTGGCTTACCCTGTTACAAAAAACACAGCAAAAGCATTACAATGCATTCTGTGTGGAGTCTGATTTTCTCAAGTTCACTGGAAGTAGGTTTAAAAAAAAAAAAAGAAGACTACATGGATGGCAGGGCTGTTTTTACTACCCCCTTGGTGCAGGGATACAACCAAGACAAAATGGTAAGATGCCACAATCACCAGCATTAAATTATTCCATCATATTGCCCATTTTCAGATTTTTCTAGACTGTGTGGAAGACTGAAGTGCTATTTGGCAGAGTACTGTACTCTGAAATTTCACATTTGGGTTCAGTTTTGTATCAAAACAAAAACCTGCAAATCTGAATATTCTCCAGAGGACATTTTTTAAGTTTAAAGCTTTGTTTAGAGTTTGACTTGCTTTATATTCTTCTATTCCTGCCTGTTGGCTCACCAGCAACAACAAGGGTGAGTGAAGTCTTTCCACTACCTTGTTGTGTACTAGCTTCAGTTTTGTTCAAAACCTTTTGGCTCTACACCATTCTTCTCTGTATCCATCTAACACCTGCTTGGTTCCTTGCACTCTGGTGCATAGTTCCATGTACCACAACCTTCCAGGTCTGTACTTGACTTGAGGCCAAACCATGGCAGTTTTTAACTTGTTTGTAATATTATTTCTTGCTCTAATCATTCTTATCTTGCTGCTGCCTTTAACCTCCTGTTTATTTCCCTCAGCCAGTTCCTTTCTGCAGTCAAAAATCTTTCATTCATAAATGTTTCCTCATACTCTTAACAGTAGTCTCATGTACACTTTTTTGTTTTTATTGAAATGGCTTCAGCCTTCCAGAGCTTGCAGAATTTTCTAAATGCTGTAGTGGCAAGTCTGATTCTTCATTTTATAAGTACTTTCTCAATTCCAATTCTTCTCTACTAGTGCTCCAAGGTACATGCATTTTTCCACATGCTCTAGTTGTCCCAATGTGATCTTCACTTTTCTTATCTTCTAGTTGCCAAAATGTGTTTATTATATGAAATGCATTACAATATAAATCAGTTTAGGAGCAAGTAGTTTGAAAATAATATATTTAAACATTTTATTCTGATAATGCTGAAATGTCCCATTTTGACATTTTTTGGTGCTTTTCACCTTTGCTCCTGAAAAAAATTTCGGAGCAAGACATTTTAAAAGGCGTTTTGACAGAAAAATAACTCCATGAATGTTTGTCCAGCTCTACTCTCTATATAAACTGTATATTTTTAAATGTAACCAAACACAGACAGCAGAAGATTTAAGCTGTATTAGCATTTCTTGTCTTGAGTGCCTAACTATGCATTTAACATTTTATAACAAACCCTTTAAACAAAAGAAACATTCAAATGAATTCTAACATTTTCCTCCAAGACAAAAAAATTACACTTTCCTTTTGGAACAGGACTAAAGCAGTAACACTATTAAGAGGAAGTTTAATTTAGTGAAGTCTCAATTTGCAACCTGCATAACTTGCTGCCTGCTTAAAAACAGGGGTCTTAAAAGAACTAAAAGCACTACTTTTCTTTCAGGCCACAAAATGCAAGCTGTCTTCTGAAGCAAAATATGCTTGCTGTCCCTTCTAGGAAGTACTCAATTTTTTTTTCTTAATGGTTTTGGTTGGAATTTAACACACACACTCATTAGTTAAGATTGTAAATTTTGCGCTCTCATTGGATACTACCCACCGTCACCAGGGGTGGGGCAAGAGGTTTCCAAACCCCCGGATCCAGCCCGTGGCCACCTCGCTGGAACTCTTAAGCAGCAGTTCTCGTTTTAAAAGGCCAGCAATTCAGGATGGCTGGGGAGGGAGACAACTCATGCTGTTCCCGCCCCCCAGCAAAATCTCTTCACTTCCATTGGCTAATCTCAGTTTCCAGCCAATAGGAGTTGAGCAATTTTGCTGGTAGCTGGGGCAGTGTAGGAAGCCTTTTCCCCTGCCTTCTTGTCGTCCCCCTCTCCCTCTTGTGCCCAAAGCAGAGCCATGTAGAGCAGTGAGCAGCCTGTAGCAGACAATCTTCCTCAGGTTTCTGCTGGTAAACACCTCCCAACCAGAGTCTGCCTCTGGCACCCCAGCTCCTCCCTTCCCCAACATCTCTCCTCCCCCTCCACATACCAAAACCCTCTGCCCCATCCCACACCTACACCTCCTCCCAGATCTGGCACCCCAATCTCCTGTCCCAAATCACAATCCCCTTGTACCTTAGGTAGTAACGCAAAACCCTGCATCCTAGTCCCCTGCCCTAGGTCACAACTGCCTCCTTCATCCAAGCTCCTTCCTAGACCCCATTCTCCCTCCTGCACCCCACCCCCTTACCCCAAGCTCCCTTCTGCACACAACCTCCATCCCAAACTCTGGAATTCCTCCATTAATACCCTGGAAGAGTGCAGCCCTCGACCATTTTCCAAAATCTTGGCGTGACACCCTGTCAAAAATTATTTCCCACCACTGCACTTTGCAATATCTTTTGGTATTGTTCTTCTTTCTACACTGAACAAGTCTGTATTTTTGTGGTAAAATGTAAAAATAAATAAATAAATGAAGTTCCTTACCAGACTTGTTCCTCTGTTGCAATGAAATACAATAAGAGAGGTGTAATTGAACATTCTGTCTACTTCACAAGGGGTTTTACTGTTAAAAGTGATATAAACTTCATTTACTGCAGGATTTATTTTCGGAGGTTCAGTGATGTGACCAATATCCTGAATAAGAAAAAATAATGATTGATAGCAGCATATTAAATATCTAAAAACAGGGACAATGATGAGACAAGTAGGTGCATCTTCCATTCCAAGTGAGAGCTGAAGTACTGAACACCTCTGAAAATCATGCCCTATTACAATTTCTCTCCTTGAACATACTCTGATTAGATCTTACAAGAGAAGATGTCCATTCACTGTGATATATGATGATCAAAGCTTGACATCGTAAAACATTTCACATCTAGTGTGCAAGAGCTGTCATTAGGCCAAGACATAGTGCTGTTTTCAGCTAACAAAAACGTTCCTCCTTAGCCAACACAGAAGCATCCAAAATCAAGAGTAAAGGAATTTGGTCATATACAACACTAGCTCCATTTGTTCACAGCTTTTTAGAATTAAATGTGTACCAAACGTCAGCAAGTTCATCTTCACTAAGATCCAGCAAGGGCAAACTTTACCATCCCTAGCAACTTTCCTTAAGGTGGTGCATTACCGTCACCTTCAAATCTGATTTCACCTTCACTGTTGCTTTGCAAATCAACACCATGGTACCTGCTAGTCACATGTTCACATAAGGTTTTGAAGGCACCTCACTTGTCGGCACATACTACATACTGGACACATCCAGCTTCACATTTTAGTAACTGTACTAATTTTATGGCTACCATCTTTTCTCCACCATACACTGGCAGTTACTTAAAAGCTTTCTGTTCACCAACCCAAATGCTTAGCAGATACTCCTAAATAGAACCAGGAACGAAATCTGGTAGGCTAATCTTTTGGGTCTGTCCCAGTGTGAGCTGTTAGTATATCTTAGGAAATAGAAGTCTGCAATCCCAATGAATCCCTCCAACCCAGCAGAGAGCTATAGTGAAATTAGATGGACACAATTTGGGGAGAAGTGACAAATGCTGGGGTGGACAGGACTTTGCAGATGTAGTTTTAAATCAGCCCCTTTCCCCTCCCCCCCGGAAAAAACCTCATAATCAGTCCTAGGGGTGCTTTTCAAAAGGAGCTATCAGTTACAGTATCTCAAGAGATCTCAGTGCTGTTAGTTACATTGTACTTACTATAGGAGGTCCATTAACAGGAACCATGCAGACAGCCGATCCAGGTGGGCAGTTGACATCTGCAATTGGATTCAGAGGCTCACAAATGTTAATATAGAAATCTGGAGTGAGATCAGTTAAATCATCATCAAATGCCTCATAATACCCAGTTCGATGGATCAGAGGGGAGAGGTCAATAACTGAGGTTCCATTCTGCACTGAGCATTTCACCTGTTAGGAAACAAACGTCGTGCCTTTATGGGAACTGTTTTATTATACAATAAGCCCCCTTTTCTCCTTGCACCTTTTCCTGGAATACACATTATACTGACTGCTACAAGAGATACTTAAGTTATGTACCAGATGAAACCCTTCCCATGAAGCACAGAATTTAAAGATTACCACTCACCACATCAAGACAATGCAAACAAGAAGCAGTCTTCTTCCCTTCCGCCACCCCTACCCAAAAATTTGGCACGGTTTCTGTATCAAACAGAAGCTTGTAGATCCTCTTACCTCTTCCTCACAGGCTAATGAAGTATGCCAAGAAAAGTAGTGGGTGCATGTCTGCTCATCAAAGGACAAAAGCACAGGTCGGCTACCAGCTGTAGCATCAGACTTGCACACAAAGCTAAAATAACTTGTATGTTTCAGTTCGGAGTTTGCAGGACAAGGATCTCCCCCTGCATAGACAAGCTTCAGCAGCTGATCCTCATAAGTCAACATTTTGTTCAGTCTTCCAGCATTAACTGGCTTCTGATCACCAACAATGCAGACACCTAAATGAAGAAAGATGGGGACAAAAGTTATCAGCTAGGAAAAAGAGTGAATAATCCAATCATACCATGTGTTCGTATGCTAAATTACAATTGTTCCTTAAATCCTATAGTGATCATAAAGTAGGACTAACAGAATTCTGAACAATTTTTTTTTAGCAGTTTTCCTCCCCTAAGGGAGGCAGCTTGAATTTTTAAATTTTTCCCACCAAAACGAGTAAGAAAAACATTTGGGTTCTTCACAGAAGGGACAGCAAGCATGTTTTGCTTTAGAAGATATAGTTTGCACTTTGTTCAGTTTTTAAGATGCCTAATTTTAAGCAGGCAGCCAAGTTATGCAGGTTGTAAGCGAAGACTTCACTAAATTAAACTTCATCTTAATATTGTCTCTGATGAGCCTTAGTCCTCTCAATGGTAATTCCTGAGCCTCGCCAAAAGCAGAGACCCATAGCATGCTGGCTGCATAGGTCCAGAGGCAGAGAACTCTGGAGAATTCCACAAACTGGCGGCCCTAACTCCTGCTTGCCCCCAAATGTACATATCTGTCTCCATTGTCCAGAGAAACAGCTCAGACTGACACGTCTGACACAAACAATCCTAATTCTCCAAGATGAACGTTGTCAGTTTCCTCACTCGATTCCTAATATGCTATATTTTTTACAATTTAAATACACTTTGTACCAGTTAGTCTCAGGTAGGGTACCTCTCTCTCCCCATGTATCAATACATAACATTCTAGTGTCTCCTGGAGAAATAGTTTTTTCCTAGGCAGAGAATGTCATGACTGACCAGTGAGTGACCTGGTGTACTATTTACAAGCACTGAAGACAAATTCAGAAAAGAGAAAAAACCAGAAACTTACCAACCCCACTACCACATGGGCTTTTAGCTTCATTACAAACACCCAACTGAAGTGTTCTTCTTCTCTTGCCGTCATAGATAGTGTAGCCAGACTCTCTCTTTAAAGAATTCAGGTCGAAGAGATGGCCTGCAGGGAGAACAAGGCAGAATTTTCTTTTTTTGCAGAATCAAAGTAAAAGTTGAATTAAACAATGGCTTTTTGAAGAGACGCTTAAGCATCATAGCCCAGCACTCCTGACTCCACAAGATGACCTGTAGGCAACTATCGGTATGAATTATTTTCCTTTTAGTTCAGAGGAATCCAGTGTGGGGCTTTTCTGAGGTGACAACTCAATTCAGGGTCTGCCAGTAGCATTCATAATGTAGACCAAGCATCTCCAAGAGGCTGAAATAGTAGTTCCTTGACACGATACTTTCCCCACCAATCTCAAAACAGTTACCCTCTGGAGATGAGACCAGTCCTCACCTCCCAGAACATCAGAACAAGGGCAAGATGACCAGGTTCCCATTTGCTTTATTCATTGTTACTGGCAATTACAGCCATTAGAGTACAAATGCAACACAGGTTCTAATGGCTCTAACATCTGAAACACACTGATGTCATGTGCATAAAGTCTCACATATCCCTTACCTGTAGCAGGGTTAGTTACTCTGCAGTCATTTTGCACATTTTTTTTCAGAGGACATGCAGCAGCAGTGAACCATAAGAAAGTATATTCACATTCTTCAATAGCAGTTACTAGTTCTGGTTCAGACTCCTGAAACAAATGATTTGAGAGAGAAAAATCAAGTCTCTTCATAGAAGCACAGCAAACAAAGAAGTGGGTTGTGCCCAGGAAAGCTCATACCACCATCTACATGTTTTGTTAGTCTTTAAGGTGCTACTAATCTATTTATTCTTTTTAAACAAAATGCAGGACTATTTAGCACTTTAAAGACTAACAAGATGGTTTATTAGATGATGAGCTTTCGTGGGCCAGACCCACTTCCTCAGATCAAATAGTGGAAGAAAATAGTCACAACCATATATACCAAAGGATACAATTAAAAAAATGAACACACATGAAAAGGACAAATCACGTTTCAGAACAGAAGGGGGATGCAAGGGGGGGAGGGAGGGAAGGAAGGTAAATGTCCCCCCTGCATCCCCCTTCGGTTCTGAAATATGATTTGTCCTTTTCATATGTGTTCATTTTTTTTAATTGTATCCTTTGGTATATATGGTTGTGACTATTTTCTTCCACTATTTGATCTGAGGAAGTGGGTCTGGCCCACGAAAGCTCATCATCTAATAAACCATCTTGTTAGTCTTTAAAGTGCTACATAGTCCTGTATTTTGTTTCAGCTACACCAGACTAACACGGCTACATTTCTATCACTGTTCTTTTTAAGTTTTCCCTGTTACAGACCAACTTGGCTACCCCTCCGAAGCTTTATCTGCATAGTATTTACCACTTACGTTACATTTATCTAGTCCCAGACTGGGCAGCTGTCCATCCCACTCTGGTAGGAAAGCACTTGGACTGTTCTGGTCATTTCATACTGGTAAGGAGGAAGATTTTCAGAGTAACCACAGCAGAAGTCGTTATGGGCAGGAGGACAACGTGAGGAGAGTTAAAGACTTCTGCTTACATAAGTGGACTGTGGCAAAGAAGTGGGAGCGAAGGAACACACTGTAAACACTTTTAAGGGTGTAAACAGAGGATGTCACATAAGTTTGGGCAACAAGAAGTTACATAAATAAAAAAAAGTGCATTCCCATTCCTCCGGTCCAAAGATGTAGGCTGAGTCTTCAAGGAGGTAAGGTTATTTAGGCTAACACTTTCTCCTGCAGTAAGTAATGGAAACTTTCCTGCCTGAGTATATGTGAAAGGTAGAGAAAAGGTAGGGCTATGTACTGCAAAGAGTGACTCAGCACTAAGAAGCATATTAGATGTGAAAAAGACCTTTTGGTCAGCCACTCAAATTCTAGGGGTTTCATACTCCTTACTTATCACTGTACTTTGTTCCCACAGCCAGTTCCAATCTAACTGCACAAAAGGGGTTTTGCCTCATCCAAAAACAGAGGAAAATATTTTTTCCTTCCTAGACAAATGGATGCGCCATACTTACAACTCTGCTTTCATCACACTTGAGGCGTAATATTGTTGTCCTCTTGCGAATTTTGTCTGGACATGGATCCCCATTTACATACTTTAGAACAAAAATGCCATTTTCCCATCGTGGTCCATCAGCAACCTCACCTAGATTTATATAGTTGGAACCATCCACTAGGCAGGCAGCAGCATCTGACGGACAGGATCCTAGACCATGAGAGGAATATAGCAAAGTGAAGTTTGCTCTCTGTGACACCATCGCCAACAGTCCCAACTGTTTAGGATGCATGTTTAGGAAAGAAGGGATTCTTCCAGACACATACACCCTAGCAGCAAAGTACTATGCTACTCACCAACACCACTTTAAAAGAAATACTTAACTTGACTGTCACTTTTAAAGACTGTGGTCAGCCACTTAGAGAATGGATTGTAAACTGTGGAAACAGTCTCTAATACGCAAGGGCTCTTTGCTTCCTTTATACAGCTTGAACTCCTGCTCACAGGGTCACAAAGCAGCTGCTGAAATGTCTGCCTGTAGCCAGACAGACCGCCCCCCGCCCCCCATTTCATCCATCTTATTTGCCTTTCTGAAGCATACAGGGCAGAGAAGGAGCAGTAAAATCAGCATAGTCTATGCTGGCTCATCTGATCCTGAGAAGCTGAAAAAACAGATATGTGGAGAGAGAGCGATTAAGTCAATAAGCTGGCCTCGAGGCTGCGAGAACTGCCCCGGCTGGCACCCATGTTGATTTGAACACACACACAGTCCCTGGGAGAGGAATTTCCCACTGAGAAAAGAATCCCCAGTAATTCCAATTTAGTTATCGCTCTTACAAGTGTAAATTAAGTTCACAACTCCCTTGTAAGAACTGGTCTCACAAAAGACAGACCAGCCCCATTTGGCATGACAGATAAGAAAGAGAAATACGTGACCCCATGAGTATAAAGGTGGTACAGCAGCACACACTCTTTTGAGTGTCATTCTATCCTAGCCTACCTGCTGGTCGGGTTAGGTGTTTGACCTCCCGAGGTTCTACCTCGTCTTTTCGTCTTTTCTAGGAATTGAGGGACCGGCCCTGGCCTGACATGCTGGAGTCCAGAGGCACAGAAGGGGGGAAAAATTGTACCTGGATGTGGTCCTCTGTCTTAAGTGTACACATAGAAAGAGTAAGCTGTTACTTGGTACCATTATTTCTATTTTTCTATCTTTATCTTCTTTGTAACCATTTTTAAGATCTATATTTTGCTAGTAGTTAAGATATAGAGCAATAGCCATTGCAACCATATGATTTATAAGCTTCCTCAATAAACCTGTAACTGTTTAAGCTTTAACCTGACTCCTTCAGTTGCTGTAACAGAACCAAGCACAATTTAAAAGAACTTCAGCCGGTCATTAGGGACAGATATAGGGAGAGCTTGGGCGTTTGGATTTGTGTCACACCCAGGTGACAATCCACTGGGGCGCCTTTCAGTCTTTCCCCAAGGCTGCCCGCTGCGAAGGAATTACGAATTCTAGCAGCTGAAATCTAAGGTGGAATAAGCTCTTCCTATAAACTCGGGGCATCTGAGAGCCTGTTGGCTGGCCTCTGAGACAGGACCCCAGTCCTAGCAGTAAAGTCACAGACGTTAAACTATTTTTCGGGGCACCCTCCAGCCTCCTAGACTGCCCACTGCAACGAGACTGTGTGTCTCAGCAGTTGAAGACTTGGGTGTAACACACACGCACACACTGCCCTGACCGTCGGCGGACACTGCCCCAGACACTCAGCAAATAATCTACGATCAGGGTGGTGGAGGTAGAAAGAAGCGTCCCCGTCCCCCCCCAAAAAGGGTAACCTCCTCCAGTTATGCTCTTCAGTGCCATTTCACCTGTCCCCAAAATCTAGAGTGGACTTGAAATGAAGAGCTAGAGAGTAGTGAAACAAGGCTGAGGCTGTGGAGGTGGGCAGGGGAGAGAAGAGGTCAAGTAAAGAAAAAGTGAGTTGCCAGGGAACTCCACTGTTGGCTACAATGAAACAGGCCCCACACACCGGCCTTCCCTCCACTGCCCACAAGTCACAGCTGTGCCTGTGTCTTGCACTCAGTATGGTGATCTTCTGCTTAGCTGGTAGTGTGGTGGGGAGAGGAGACAAGGCTGTGTCACCTCCTGTTTTCCTGCCATAACTACCAGTGGCATTTGAATACACACTGCTCTTGCTCTTACCTGCACCTGCATGTAGCACTAAGGACTGGCAGACATTAATATAGTATTTCTGTCTTGAGCCAGATATTGGAATAGCTTCCCAGTTTTCTCTATGCCGTGTCAGAGGTGAGAGATCAAATGAGTTTCCTTCGTCGTCTCTGCGTTAAACAAAGCGTTTTACATTTACATGAAACAAAGCCACCTCCCAAAGCAGACCACCACAAATGAACAACAATTCTATACTGACTGAGGGAAAGGAAGAACACTACATGCAGGAAATATCTGGAACTTGTGCACCAATACCAGGTCTGTAAGTCACAGGTTTGAGACGACTAGCCATTAAATAGGATGGACCAGTGTTATGAAATATTAGAGAGAACCTCTGTCTAGGTTGTTAGCTGGTGTGTCTTACTCACAGGCTCACGGTCACAGTGACGGCAAGATTTGGGGGTCAGGAAGGAGTTTGCCCTCCCAGGTCAGATGGGCAGGACACCACAGTTCCCTCTAAGCTGTGCAGTTGTGCAGCTGCCTAATAAGCCCCTTGCAGGGGCTCAGGGCTGTTGTGCAGAGCTGACCCGGCTGTGAGAGAGACACGCTCCTCTGGCCCCACCAGCACAACTGTATTAAGAAAGGGGCCTTATGGGCTGCAGCCCCTAAAGTTACTGTGTTCTGGGCCAGCCTTCCCTGGTGTGGGAAGGAGACAGCTCTGTGCGCTGCCATTCCTCCCCCCACACACACACACTCCCCCTCATAGCTGGAGCCACGGTGGGCACCAAGACACACTCTCTCTGCAGATCATATCAGCTGTGATTCTCGGCCAATAGGAGCTGCAGGAAGGGCAGTGCTTGCAGGTAAGTGGAGTAGCACAGAGCCACCTGTTCCCACGCACACATTGGAGCTGCCCCAAGTGAGCACCCCAACCACCTGCCCCAGTCCTGAACCTCTTCCACTACTTTAACCTCCCTCTGAGACCCCACCAACTCTGAGCCCCCTTCTGCACCCACAACTCCTTGCCAGGCCCCGCCCCAACCTCCTGCCTGCCCCTTAGTATGCTCCTGCACTCCAAACTCTTTGGCCCTTGCCTGGGGCCCCCTCCTATACCACGAACACTTCATCCCCTTCCCAAACACTCTGAATCCCTCAGTCCCACCCCCAGGCATCCATATGCAGAATGACTTGTGTCGCACACCATCTCTACATTGGTACACAACAAAACGTTCATTCTATACATGAACATAATACATTAGAGGGAACAGTGCAGGATGCTGGGGATTTTGGTCTGTCTTCTTTTGAACCACAAAGGACCACATACTAGGACCACCTGGCATTACCTAACCAATTTCCTGCCACTGCAGAGACATCTGGAACTGGGGGCGCTTTGGCCTTCCCTGTCTGTGTTACACAATTTCATATTCTGAGGATTAAATGCTTTACTCTAACTGAAGTCTCTGGGTTTACTGAGTGGAACGTCATGAACCCCAATATGCATTAAGTAGATCATCTTGTCTCTTCCAGCCTTAATCTCCATGAAACTAGGACTTATACAAACTATTTTACTGGGGAAAGCCCCATGAGTCATCTTGAATTGATGAGGGTCCTAGAGAGCATGCACTGGTGGTCAGCTATATTTCAACACAAAGACAGCAAGCTCAAACATAAGGTTCCACTTTCCAACATACGTACCCCTTTATTTTCAACGGCTCCAAACTAAACACCCAACAACTGCCTACTACCTCTGCCCTCTTTCTGCTCCCTCCCCTGCCCAAGGAAACCCATTTACACAATAGACTATTAAACGTTCCCTACCTCCTATATACAAAATAAATTCATAAGTTTAAGACAGTTTTCTGGGATGGGGGAAAACAATTGTGTTTGCCTTTGTGCATTGCCAATGCATGCTACAACTTAACCCACTGCAAATTCACACTGGATCACTTTGTCAACTAGAGAAGACAATAGCTGTGAAGACAACACCTCCTGAATGGGCACGTGTCACCATCAGCGCATTTCAGGTCAGACAGAAGCACAACTTACTTGTAGGAGCACTCTATAGAGCGGAAAGGTGGGCAAGCATACGGGGTGTGCCATTCAAACAAGTAGGTGCAATCTGGAGTTTCTTTCAGAAACACTGGCTGAGAAAGATAGAATTAGAGAAGTTTGTATTTCACATCTCTAAATACAGAGGTGAACAAAAGTTTCCCCAACTTCCTGATTTGACTTTCAAACATGGGTACAGTTAGACAAGACACCAATCAAGAGATCCTGGCAAATCCATAGATATCCACAGACGCAGATACCTATGGATGTGGATATCCGCAGATGATTTTTTGCAGATGCAAGTTTTATGTTTGTGTAGGGCTCTACTGATTACAGCTCTAAAATTCTAATATATAGTTGAATGAAGACAATACCTTCCTGTGTTACTAGTCCTAAAGTTGTGTAAGTGACCAGAGCTCAGGAAAGCGCCATTCACCAGAGGCTGATGTGACGCAGATACCTATGGATGTGGATATCCGCAGATGATTTTTTGCAGATGCAAGTTTTATGTTTGTGTAGGGCTCTACTGATTACAGCTCTAAAATTCTAATATATAGTTGAATGAAGACAATACCTTCCTGTGTTACTAGTCCTAAAGTTGTGTAAGTGACCAGAGCTCAGGAAAGCGCCATTCACCAGAGGCTGATGT